AGAGAGAGAGAGAGAGAGAGAGAGAGAGAGAGAGAGAGAGAGAGAGAGGAAGGGAGGAAGCATTTAATTTTCATTCGATGGCCTACGACAATGTAGTTGAACCACTTATCAATGGGATCACTGGGTATAGACCTCAAAATGAATTTGGGAGACGATAATTTTATCGAAATGTACCATCGTATCTTATTAATATAAAAACCGGATTCGTTATGTATAGCGAATTTTTTCGGTGGTGTTGGTGGTGGTGGTGGACTGGTCTGGTCTGGCCTGGTGCTCTCAATTAGCCCCATCGACTCAATTCATTGCATTATTTTTGTAAATATCAAAAGAGAGAAACTACCATATTTACCACGGCATAAATTATACACGCGGCACGTACTGTACATGAAATAATCAATTGTACATCCGTATTTAATACATCATGACTGTTTTCTACAAGCACTGAGAGCAGCAAGCAGGCAGGCAGGCATCTGCGCGCGATCACTCGTGCAATCGACCTACTTCCGCCAGAGGAAAGTGACTCAGCATTCCATTCAATTGTAGGTGGGGATGAGGAAGATGATGCTGTGATCCTAAAAACTATCGAACCCCAAATTCAGCGAATGCATCATCTCTGCGCCAAATTATTGGCAATTTATAGATAGAGAGGACCTAAAATTTTTTGCGCGGCTTGATATGCATCCACGTGCGTGGTGTGGTGGTCTGGTTAAAGCTGTGCAGACGTGACGCAGGTAAGCACGAACGCGCCAGAACCGCCGAGCAAATAAGTAGAACGGAGCACCGTTAGTCCGACAACAGATAGCAAGCCTCTCCCCCCACCTCTTTTTCCCTCGTCTCACTCCTTTTCACAGTCTTCCCCGCGTAGCCCTCTCGCTTCCACACCAATTTCTTTGCTCCTCTGATGGTACAGTTGGCTATATGCTTGGTTTTGTTTAGCGCGTAAGCGCGCGTTATTTGCTTTCCTTTTCATTGCGAAAAATGGCGCGTATATGTGTGTCTACTCGATTGACCTACATTCATTCGAGAATCAACTGCAGCCCTTTTTTCGCATATTATCATTTAATAGGGGATTTACTATGTTTGTCAGGGCGGGACTAACACATCCAAGTGGAATAAATCAATTGAAATATTCATCGAATTCGTTAGATTCATCTGTGTGGAGAATAACACGAGAACAGGCGGTCCAACTAGAAATTTTTGTCGCGTCGGGAAACTTTGGTTCGGCAAATTTATGCTCTTTCTACTCGAATGGGGGTGTTATCTGTGCTTGTACATAGCGGTATTAAAAAACTGCCACATGGTCTATCTATACAAAAGCGAGAGAAGTTAATGTCATGGGGGCTTCAAGTGAAATCCACGAGGAATTCTAATTAATAGACAGAACAGTTTAAAAAGGAACAAGCGGCTTTGCTCAGTCCGGTGAGCTCGATGCCCGAGACCTGCACAAGCGAGATTAATTTGTCACGTGACTCTGTGAGAAAATATCGTTGAATTGACATTCAATACACGAGTTGTAGAGTCGAATTAAGACGAAGGTGGATGGTATCGTGGATAAATATTGGGACAAATTGAAGAAAAAAATGAAAATTGAATGGAAAAAATGATTGACGGCCCTATTTGAGAGTCCTCATTTTGCACAAGTAGGACAAACTTAATAGGGCTGACTCTTTCTCCTTGAGCATAGGCAACCCATAAAAATCTTTCTAACGGTACAATTAGGCAGTGGGCCACAGTCACGAAATTCATGGCACGCGTTTCACATACATATGTATAGCCCATATGTGGGTATTGGACGTTCGTCTCTCGTCATTCAAAATCTGCATGAAATTTTAATGAAACCTCCGAGATAGGTCGCTCAATGCTACAATCGTAAGAGTGTTTATTCGCCTTTTTCGAGTGTATTGTGCGAAGGAAATTGAAAAAAATGTCAAGTACAATAGTAAACGGCAAATGACACACTGTCTGACAATTCGTATCGTCAATATACCGTTCGTTAATTGGACTCTGTGTATTAAGTTCCGCATGTGGGCGCTCATGTCCTCCTTTTCCCTGGGTGTCAGCATCGTAAAACCTGCGCTCAATTTCTTGGCCCTCTGCAAATCCCCTCGGATAAGAGGGAAAATCTCTTCGGTTAGAGATGTTTCAATTAAAAGGACCGATCGATCATTAATTGGCGTTGGTGAACCGAATAAACTTTAAATTATTTGTAATAATGGAGAAATGAGGGGGGCACCAGTGGTGGGATTAAATTGGTAGGACTTGGTTAACGGAGAAAGTGCGAGCTAAAGGTTAGAAGAATCGGCATCCATTCTCAGTGCCACTACAATATGACGGATGAATCTTACAACCAAAGGTACATTGGCAATTAACCTTGGCCTCCAGATATTTATTCATCTTCACATGTAGTGTGAGTGTAGTGCCAGTTGATCACTTCAGGCTGATAATTTCTCGCGGATGCCGGGGAAGTGACAGTTTCTAGACGAATAAATGTCAAAATGTGGAGATTGAGAGGAGAAAAAAAAATTGTAATGAGCAAAGTAGCAAGAGGGGTACCACAGTGTTTCTAGATTTGTAAGCGGGTTTTACGAGCTCAGTATCTATAGTTACTTGCGGAACTGACGAGTCGGAAGCCCCCCCTCTAACTGGTAACACCGGTTAATGTGGTACACTGACCTACTCTTGAGGCTTGAAGGCAGAAGTCGAGCCATACCACCACCAATTCTCCCTTCCACTTTCTGCAGAATACAACAGCAAGGTGGGGAATACCTCCGTTGCCCAGTCATCCTGTCTTCCTTCATCGTCTCTTCATATCCAACACCATCCTTGTTATTTTTCGTTCTTCTTGATTTATTTATTCATTTTCATTGCTATTTTTTATAAAGAAATTTATTGCAGTTACTGCGAGATCTTGCGACTGGCCATCGCCCGAGGGCCTTCAAGTATTTGTATTCTATGTGTGTAGTTGGTAATCTTGATTTATCTATTCATTTTTCAACATTTGTTCAGCTAAGAAATGAGCTTTGATGTAATTATCAGACTCGATTGGAGCGGCATATTTTTCCTCTATTGGAAAAAATAATTCGTGACATCGACAGTCGAAAGTTGATTCCATCAAATGTGATATGGCATTTTTTTATTTGAGCATACGGCATTGCGACTGACGTATCCTCTCTCTCTCTCTCTCTCTTTCTCTCGCTCGTACACCCCGTGCACCCCCCATTTTTCATGCACCCCACTACTAATTTTACAAGCACTACATGGAAGGAGTGTTATTACGGCGCTCAAAGGAGAAATTTCACCGCAAAGTCCCCGTGACTCGATCTTTCTTTTTTCATTTTTCCTATCTCAACGTTTTTGTTATTTGTCAAATTGTAAAGGCCCTGCAATATCGAGAGGTTGAAGCAGTCAACGGGAGAAAAGGGTTTATGGTGTTGTTTTGTTGATTTTTATGGAGTTTCATTAGTGCGGGGTACAGCGAGTCAAATGTTTTTGGGTTAAGGAAGATCCTCTTTATGACACGGTCAGCCAAGTACCCGTTACCAAGGCTCAATGCTGATGGCCTGAGCTCTTTGGTACCGCGGCCCCACTGACATCGTTTCCCGCCTACTTTGGCGCTCAATTCAAAATATCCAACTGGATAAGTCAATATTTGGACTTTGAAGTATTTGAAAAATGACGGAAGAGCTACTTACATATGAGCAGCGTGGTATCCAGAGTGGTATTTTTGTTGTCCGCGGGACCTCCTCTTACGAATGTATCCACTGAACGAGACACTGTCACCAGTGATATTTACTAGATCTTCCGTTTAATATTGAATCACAGCGGAGGCTGAATTTCATTGAGATTGTTTTCTCAATTGAAATATCGAATACTTGAGATAAAGTCACTTCAGTCCAAGTCAGTCCACATCAAGTCCACAGTACTGGGAGATTTTAAGTTATTTGAAGCACGATTATAACTTCACCTTTTATCCAAATCCTCTTGGTCGTTTATTCCAAAGTATTTTTTTCTCTCAACAAATTCACAAATTTGAAAATTTCTACTGATACTTCCAAAATTCACAATGAACGATGGTTTAAAACAATTTCCAGCATTGATGTCCTTCGTATCTTGGTGAGCCACTTTGATGTCATACAATTGAGCAACATCACCTGACTATGGGGGGAAATTTTCTTCATCCGAATTTATCAAACACTGAGAGCCAACTCTATGAAATCACAAAAACACTGCTTTCTTTATCATCGAATACACCTAGAGAATAGACGATCGATTTTAATAATTAATAATAAAATAGGAACACTGGAAAACACGACAAAACCGTAACGTACTGACGTTTGAAAACGGAGAATAAGTAGCGCGTACCGGCCAGCCGGGAAGGTATTTTCGAAAAGAGCGTGAAGACTTCAAGTGCACTCCCTCCTTAGCCTGTCCACTTGCTTCCCTCCTTTGACAAAAATGAAGAAAAAAAAATGTTCTCTTTTCCTCCTTGGCGAGTGTTATTTCTCTATTTGTCGTCTCCTGTAAACACGTTTTGTATCAGTAGTAGACGATTTGGGGATAACGTGAGTGCTCGCGCCTACCACGGGAGAAAATTCCACTAATTTTCTAAAAGTAGGCGAAGGAGAAGAAGAAGAAGCGAACTGGATGGCCTGTGGGCCCTTACTGTGAGGGGCCTTACGTAGTATGAGCGGGCAGAGACCCCTACTTCGTTGTCAGGCCTCCGACCAGGAAAGGCATGGGACGTTCGGAACGCACGGGCGGGACACCCCCCTCCCTTTCATCTACTTTAACTTGGCGCTACTACGATGCCACTCTTCCTGGTTGGTGTCTGCCCCCACCTCCCCTCTATCTCTCTCTTTCTCTCTCTCTTGCTCTCTGCCTCCCTACTTTGCTCCTTCTTGTGCTCTCACATCCACCGCCTCCCACAATCCACCACCATCACCATCACCACCGCCACCACCATCACCACCACCACCACCACCACCACCACCATCGATACTTGACTATTATCATCAGCCAGCTCCACTGAAACACATGCTTCTAACACCACTTCTGACCACCTCGCGCAGTGACTTTGGCTGATCGTGTTCCGCTTCCTCCTCTTCATATATTTTCATATCCATCCACTCTGGCTAGACGCTCATTACCCTTCTCATTAGTCTTCGTAGATACGCGCTCTTGTGACAGTAGTCGATTATTACGGATTATGGTTTAAAGAATTTTTTTCAAATGGCACCGATTTGGGCACTGAGCTAATTGCATCTTACTTAATGCTAATGAGTTGAATGAC